TTTTTTCCCGCCGATTTCGTGAAGAATTGGCGAAAATCGGCCAGAATCGGGCAAAATCAGGCAAAATCGGGCAAAATCGAGCAAAATCGACGAAATCCAGGATCTCTCCTAAATCGGCGGAAAAAATCGGAAAAAATCAGATAAAATTGGAAAAAAATCAGAAAAAATCGGGAAAAAATAAAAAAAATAAGAAAAAATTGAAACCGTATCCAGAACCTTGGACAATGGATAGGAACGCCTTGTGCTCGCGATGCGCACTTGGACATACCTGCACCTCTGCCGCCGTGCCTGCTGCAGGGGGGCCGATCTTGTGCACAAGCTAGTTGTGCACAGAATGTTTGTGCACGCATTGTGCACGCGGTTTGCACGTGATTTGCACGTGGTTTGCACGCGTTATGCACGCGATGTGCACGCGTTCTGCACAAATGTGCACGTGGTTTGCACGCGGTTTGCACGCGTTGTGCACGCGGTTCGCACGTGTTGTGCACAGGACCATTTTATCACGGGAAACCCTCTGCACTATTTGTGGTCCTCGGGTCATTCCCGGGAGCCGGGAGCCCTTGCCTATAATTCAGGCGAGGGGGTTTTCACTCGAGATTTGCGTGCACACAGTATTTCGTAATACGTGTATTTCGTCGGTATTTCTCAGGAAAAGTTCACCGTTTTGGATCATATTTAGGCGTATTTCGGTGTATTTCACGTGAAATACCTGTGAAATACCTCATTTGGTGTACACGGTATTTCAGAAGTGAAAACCCCCTCGAATTCAGGTGGAAACCTGTAATGCGAAAAAGTAGAAAAAAATAATTAGGCAAGGGAATCAAAGGAATAGAAAATAAAAGATTCGAAAAAATATTAACTCACCTTGATGTGCTGCTGACGTAGGTGTCCAGTGCATAATCAGCAATTGCATGAACTTTGCACCAGCAGGTGCCTCCTCCATTATGGCCAGAAAACCGTCGTCAACCATTCCAGGTGAGAGGAGGGAAAGGCCAGGCGAGGCTCGGAGCCACTTTCCTTTTTCCGTCTGACGGTCGGCGTACTCCTCTCTAAGGCCTCCCTCTTGAATTTGCCGAATAAAACACTGGCCCAAATGAAACCTACAACCCACAATAGTTGCTGCGGGGAAGGAGCTCCTTATGGTGCTGTGGGCTGCTGGCTCGAAATCAACTAGTATTTCACTGGGATCAATGGTGGCCTCTCCCAACTCGGCAGCTAACTCCTTCAGCCGCGCCCACAACTTCTCATAGCTAGAGTAAGGACAATCGAGATAGTCATGCAAAAGAAAACAAAACAGGCTTTGGTCAAAACTAAATTAAAATATTTTAAAATC